ATATATATTACGATTAATATGTAACGGCGTTAACGTAGCAGGGAGAGTGTGCATGCAAAAGTATATTACAAGGGGGTATGGCGCAATTTTTAAAATACAGGAGGAAAACGCGCAGATTTAGTATATTATAGGGGGGTTTGGTCAATTTACCCTTATATTATTTATTTTATATTTCTCTCTCCACCAACCAATTATTATTTTACGCGTGTCAAAATTATTGTATATCAAAATAGATAGTTACTCTGGTTGGAGATGCTCTAACCCCCACAAAAACTCTAACACGTGTCTGTAATCAACTGGCCGATATTGTTCTAGTGGGGCCCACCAGCCTACGTATTATAGGGATGATCTAGGCCGTGCTTGGCTGCTGCCTCTGCCACGCCACCATTTGGAAAACAATGGAATTTGATCGAAGTTTCTCGCGCAGGCGCTCACTCCCTACATATACATGCCGGCGCTCGAACTCCGATTATATTAGCTCATTTTCATATTTCAGCTTTTATTTCGGTCAATTCTTGCTCGTGATTTGCGGCGAAGTTGATACCACGGTCGGGAAACTTGCGGCGGCGATGGTGAAGAAGTATCCGGTGGTGAGTGAGGAGTATCGGGCGGCGGTGGAGAAATGCAAGAAGAAGCTCAGAGGGCTTATTGCGGAGAAGCACTGCGCTCCGATCATACTGCGATTGGCGTGAGTGGATGATTCTGATTTTTGGCTAATTTTCTGCCCGGTTGATTCTGATTTTTGGCTAATTTTCTGTTTGTACTCGAAGCAAGACTCTGTTAATGTATCTGGGGATAATTTCGTATCTGTGGTGTTTATCGAATAATGTTAACGGCTTAAAGCTAACGTATCAAATTTGGTTGGATATCTGATTATTCAACTTCTTAACTGGGGCAGTCAAATTCGACCCGTTATTCATACTTTGCATTTGCATTAAGTATGAGATCGTGAGGATACCTTTGGATGGAATTGGATATCTGGTTATTCAACTTCTTAGCTGTCCTGCAGTCAATTGAACCCATTATTCATATGTTACAGTTGCCTTAAGTACGAATGTTAGGATATGTAAACGTGGTTTGTGATTAGGGGCATGTTGGTTTGTTTCAGTCATGTTTGACTGGTGATCTCTAGGATTCAAATATTGATGATTATTTGCCTTTGTTGTGGTCTTTTAGATGGCACTCAGCCGGGACATATGATTGGAGAACAAAGACTGGAGGGCCGTTTGGGACAATTAGGAACCCGGCTGAGCTTTCGCATGAAGCTAACAATGGGCTCGACATTGCTGTTAGGCTGCTGGAGCCATTGAAGGAACAATTCCCTATCCTCACCTACGCAGACTTTTTTACCAGGTAACATTTTCATTGCTTGTATTCTTGGGTAGGTTGATTTTGTTTTTAACTCATTTGTTTCTCGACTCGGATCATCTTGTGCAAAATCAATGCAGTTGGCTGGTGTTGTTGCTGTTGAGGTAACTGGAGGGCCGGAGATTCCTTTTCATCCTGGAAGACAGGTTAGTCAATTTACATTCTACCACGATCATTCGATTACTGTCTGTTGCATTTGCTACACCTGCAGCAGATCCTAATTTATTCTTCTGTAGTGTAGGCACGTCATCTGATTTAAACTTGAACTTAAAAACCCAATGCAAAAATCGAATATCAAATCAATGTTTTATATGTGTGTGTTTTCTTGTTGCTGAATTAGTATTTAAGTTACTATCAACCATATGCGAAAAGTAAGTAGTAATCGACAGCTCAACAAGTGAATGCCCTGTGGATCTTGTTAACTCTAATTCAGCATATTTATAGTGTGATTCTTAAACGACGACTTGCTTAGAGTTTGTTAGTAGGTGTTTTTTTTTTATATCATGTGAAGAGGTTTTCTCTCAATCTTGATGAATTATTTATCACAATAGGCAGATAAAGTCACAGTCTGTATTATCATATTAATAGTATCCACCATTGGAGGTATGAGGTTGGATCTTCCAAAATTTCATTGAAAAACTCTGATAGGGAGATTTCATCTTGCATGCTCGCTTCCCTTATCAAACTTTGGCATTAATCTTCTTATTGAGTTGTGCACACGCCACTTTGGAGACTGAATTTATGCTCAAATGTGAATGATCACCAACTTGGGTTAGCTTACTGATGAAATTCATCATCGCTCTCCTCTCAAGACAAAACCGAACCCCCACCAGAAGGCCGCTTACCTGATGCAAAGAAAGGTACCTTTTCCAAAATTTTCAAGTGTACAAAAGGATTATGAAAACAACAACGATTTGAAAAAATGAATCTATAGTCATTCGAACATCAAGTACTCAGGTCCAGACCATTTGAGAGATGTTTTTGGGCATATGGGACTAAGCGATAATGATATTGTTGTTCTGTCTGGTGGTCATACCCTGGTATGTTATTAAAGTGACTTGGAAATTAAGCTTAAATAGCACTCCTACAATGCCCTCTCATTATAAACAGTTCTTCTGAGGAAAAACTTGAAATATGTTATTCATTCACGAATATTTCGTCGCAAAAAAATTCAGGGTAGGTGCCATAAGGAAAGATCTGGATTTGAGGGACCGTGGACCCCTAATCCGCTCATATTTGATAACTCTTACTTCAAGTAAGACCTTGTCAACAGTTAGTTAATTCTTTTTACACACTGCTTGTTTTCAGCATTTTGTTGGAATGCAACTTTTAGACCAAAAAAAGAATGTACTACATCTCTGATAAATACGAAACCTATAAACTCAGGGAACTTCTTAGTGGGGAGAAAGAAGGTCTCATCCAGCTGCCATCTGACAAAGCTTTATTGGATGATCCTATTTTCCGGCCTCTTGTTGAGAAATATACTGCTGTAAGATAATCTAACGGATTTGAGCTTGAATAGGATTTTTTTTTTCTTTCTTTTGTTTTGCTATAAAATAGAAATCAATCAAGAGTTCCTCAAATTTTATTGCTCCATTAGGATGAAGATGCCTTTTTCCGGGACTATGCTGAAGCCCACTTGAAGCTATCTGAACTTGGGTAAGTAATCGTAATCTCTTTTGGGAAAGGTCAACTGTAGAGGAGTTCGAATTGATTTCGAGTGGATCCAGAACTGGGCCTATTATGAATCCAAACCAATGCATACTTTACATATTTTGGTAAACTCATCCTGGTCTTCAAACTAAAAATATACAGACCACATTTTTAATTGTTTTTTAGCCATATTAGATTGATTAGAACCTGCCAAGACGGTATAGTTTTTGGTAACCAACTGTTGCCTTTATGATCTCTTCAGGAGAACCGTGATTAGCTTGAAGTACGAGAAAATATATCAGTTTCTTCTGATTTTAGTGTCTTGAGTTCAATATACACTTTAGAATTCGAGCGAACCAAGTCTCCAAAGCTTTCAAGTGTGGACTTGTAGCATACCAACTAAAATGTGTCCTAGAAATAAGTCTAATATGAATAGATAGATGGTGATCTTTATACGGTGGTCGATAACATTTGATATTGGAGTCTAATGTTAAGTGATGCTGCAAGAACATGTTATATTAAGGGTGTGCTTGGATACAAACATATCTACTCGAAATGAGTTTTTTTGGTTAACCAGAGTTAATTTTTGAAAAAATTGGTATGGTTAGTTGTTATTTGTCAATGAGATTTTGGGTATATGTATTTAAAATACAATAATTAAAGTTGATATGATGTAAAAGTAGAAAATAGACAATGTAAAGTAGAGAATTAAAATTGATTTGATGTGTAAGAATGATTGATTTATATTGTTTAATTATATTGGTAATATTAAGTATAGCTTGGTTAAATTCAAATTGAGTTAGATTTTGAATATGGATAAAGTATGAATTTAGAGAGTTTATAGACAAACATATCCTAATTATTACGGCATGCAGAAATCAAGAAATCATGTCACACTCTCAATTTTCCTGGGATTTTATCGTGCGTAGTCATATTAATTGTCAGGCGATGAATTTCACCCTACTCGTTTGAATTTCAACAATTGGATGAACACACGCTCACATGAGTGTCGATGATCCGAGGGGCAGTACCCACGCGTGTAGGGTCGAACTTAACATCACTAATTTTATGTGACGACTTTTTGTGCTGCAGATTTGCAGAAGCCGAGTAAACGGAGATGGAGGATTGATTTTGATTGGCTGGTTTTTCTCTTCGTGTGGTCCATGCAAAAGTTGATGATGGCTTCATTGGCCTCTAGCGTTTTTGGCCGTGTATGTGTATGAGTTTTCCCACTTTTTCCTTTTGTTGTTCCTTGCGAGTCTTGGTGTGGGCCGTGTATTTAACTCTGTACTTAATTTTTTCTTCAATGAATAATATGCATGCTCATGTATAAGTCTGAATGAAATAATCAATATATAATGAATTGTAGTCTTACAGGTTGCAGGAGTACTTGTTATGCTATGATAATAATTAATAAACTAGAGTTATAATATAAGAAGATCCTACAGTCCCGTTGCGGAACAATTTCATCGAGGTTTGTAAACCGTTATATCAAGTATTCTCTGACGGTTACATGATGATTGAACGATTACAAATTCCGACGAAATGGTTTCGTAACGGGACCTTCCCTGTAATTAGACATCGCAAAAAACCGGTCATGACCCGGCCCGGCGAAGGGTTGGGTTTGGCGGACCCTGAACCAGCACGGCTTAGGTCCGTGCCGGGTCCATGACCCGGTGGGGCGGGCCTGGATCTGGGCCCGACCTAATAAAAAAAGAAAAAAAAAAAGAGAGAAAAATTCAAAAACCATACATTTTTCCCATGTCGGCACTGACTTGGCCCGGACCCGGCCCTCCGGGTCAAGGTAAAAAAATCCCGACCCGGGATTGGCTCGGATGAAATCCGAGCCGGGCCTAGACCCGTGGTCAACGAGTTTGACCGGGCCGGGTCCGTGCTTTGTCCGGGCCGGCGGGCCGGTTGACCAGTGGCCATGTCTACCTGTAATATAAAGCGTCTTTTTAATCTCTTCACAATTTAGGTTGTAAATATACACAAAAGTTGGGAAGGGTAATATTTGGAAATAAATGTGCATATATTTCCCCGGCTTTAAATAAATAGATCAATGGATATTTACCAGTTCAATAGTAGAAACTCAATTATGAATGGATGTTGCAACGATCACACTGCAAAACAGCAAAAATTTATATAAGACGCTCATCAAAATTAATATATAGATTTGACAAAATAGTAAAAAAATGGTTCATTTGATAAATTAGTAGTAACAAAGTCTATACTAACTTAACATATGAACTTCATTTTTATAATATAATTTTGGGCAAGTGGTTGTATAAATGTTTTATTGAAGGCCAAATCACTATATTATTCTTGGAAATAGGTTAATTTAGTGTATGAAAAATGAAATTAAGTGATCATCGCACTATAAAATGCAAGTTAATTTTTTTTTTTCTTTTTTCTTTTATAATCTGTTAAATATTTATAATCGCTCTAAGAGACAAGGAAGCCCCTGAGTTGGACATCACACACTACCACCTCAATTTTTCTTTCTTTTATTTTTTTTTCACCTCAATTCATTTTTCTTTCATTTGTTCTATATCTATGTAAGATACTGGTGAAAACAGGTACGGTCCCAAGTACGTGAAGCGCACCAAAACAGGAAAAGTTTAGATGAAGCCTAAGTGAGGTTTCATCTCAAAATCAATTGGTTGAAGAATGCGGTCCCACGCACGTGAAGCACACAAAGACAGGAAAAACCCAGATAAAGCCCAAATGAGATTTCATCCCAAAATCAATTAGTTGAAGGAGGAGTAGCTCATTAAACTTATAAATTAAGCATATTTTTCTTCTATAAACGGCGTGTGACAGCTTACATGTGATTATTCCAATCATCTCTATAAAAAAAACTGTCACAATAATTTAGATTCTGAAAATAATTATAAATACTCAGTTTAACATGGGCATGTACAATTTTCACTACATAATATACTTCAAGACTAAGGAACCCAAATTCCCACACACATGTAGTAGAGTATAAAAAGCCAAAAATACAAACACAATTGAAGTGGCGTTCGTTTTCCAATATAAAAGTCCCAATAACCCAAAAGCAACAAGTAGTTAATAGTATAGCTGTGTAATAACTATTATTGATGAATTCAAAGTATTCCGTTAAAGTCATAAGCATTATTAATGTGGCGCTTGCACTTATAAAAATATACATATAAACAATCAAGTAAGATTACCTTTCATAGTTTGAAAGACGAAAATTTCTCAATGTTAAAGAAGTCTAAAAGCTATCATACTCGTTGGTGAATTTCAACTCACTACATTCAAACTTTTGTGACAACTTCAAAGTTTTATCAAATAATGTCAAAATTTATATGGAGCCATTGGATGACTTTTTTTATCGAGCCATCAATTAGTTAATATATTGACTCCTGCCCAAAATGTATTTAGTGTAGAACACGTGTCAATACATTATTTGTGAATATCTGTGGATGACTCCATACTATATATTGACACATGTCCAAAATGTATTTATTGTATGACACATGTCAATACACTATTTGTGAATACCTATGGATGACTCCATAAGCTTAGTCATCCGATGACTCCATAGCAAAATTGACAGTAATATATGAATGGAAGATGTTAGTAAGTTTATACAACCAAAATTAATTACTTGCCACTTTTAAAACAAATTACCAAGGGCTCACTTGTTTACTATAATTTGTCCAAAATGAGTTATTTTGGTTAGTCAGAGTTAATTTTGGAAAAAATAAAATTGTTTAGTTAGTTGTTAGCAGAATTTTAATAATGTATTAAATTAATATTTAAAATAAAATGATTAAAATTGATTTGATGTAAAAGTATGATACAGATGATTGGAAATGATAGATAGTTAAAATTTTGTGAGTGAATTATTACAATATAACACATGTAAGATCACAAGTAACGAATGTCATTTTAAAATATATAATAATATATATTTTTTTATAAAAAAATAATTTAACTTTTAAAACTCTTTTTCTCATTAATAGTAAATTTAAGAATATTTTTTTTTTAACAAACACCCGTGTATTAGACGGGTGTTGTACAGTTCTTAAGATTGCATCATAGGACCATGGCCATTTCTTGTTTCAATAGCCCTGCAATTAATATTGATTTAGAAATGAAAGATGCTACATTGTCAACTTAGTGCACAACTACGTTGACAACACAAGTGTAAATATCTACTTGTGTATTTAGAAATTCACATTCCGATGTCAATAAGATTTAAGAACCATGAAGCAATAATATGTCATTGAAAATCCTGGACTAACTTTGACACATGGTAATTGGATGAGAAATTTAGTACAAATTCATGATTCCATGACCCAACATGGTTATCAAGTTGACCATATGATACCATAGTTCCATTAATGGAAAATCTAAAATATAGTGAATTACTATTGTTAGTTGTATCTACATTCTTTAATATTCACAACTACTATGTATTCAATCATACTCACCTTTGAATGAATCAATAACAATATTATGTACATAGTATGAAGAGATAAATATAAGTAGTACAGTGTCTCGTGACTACGAGCAACTTCAAAATATCAAAAATTCATCTATCTACAACCTTTTTTTCTCTCTTCATTCCTTTGTCTAAAGATAAAGAAAATTAGATCTGGTCACCCCTTTTCGCCAAAGGCCTGCCATTGCACTGTTCGAGTTAAATTCCACCGAGTTGGGGCTGGGGGCCCTTCTATTCACCAATTATGAGGCCTTCCGGGTGGTCGGGCTCAACACTCGCTATATCTCTGGCCAAGGCCGTGTCGCCGGTTGTCACCGTCGGGTGCCTAGCCTCCTGAGTTTGCCAGCCGCCGGTGAGCTTGGGTTCATGCTTTTTGTTGTTGCGTTATTCAAGGGTGTGGCTTGCTACGCTTTTGAACCCCTTTTGAGCCCTCCGACGTGAGTCGACGTTGGTGGCTTTTCTGACAGCTCTCCACCTTCTCCGCCATGGTTGATTTTCGGAGTCCAGATCTGAATTGAGAATTGACTCTTCATCATATTCGTCTAGGTTGCGCGAGTGGCTGCATTTTTCGGTTGTGAAGTTCTTGTTTGTCGCTTTGTTGGATCTCTGTGCTGCTAGGAGTGGCTTGTGTGCCGACTTGAATGGTCGTGCGTTTGTCTGCTAGGTGTGGGAGAGATTTTACTTTATTTGTACATTAGGTGTGTATTCTTTTTCTTTGTTTTTAGGTTTGTTAGTCCGGCTTTTTGTAATTCTAGTCTCCTTTATGAAGTTTAAGTAAGATGTATTCAATTTGATTTCTAAAGACTTTTTAAAACTTTAGAAATTATGGTGTATTCAATTTATTTTTGTTAAGATTTTTTAAGACTTTTAAAAGTCTTGGGGTATTAATATGAGATTTTTTAAAAAGTCTTACAAAATTCAGAGGTATTTAACTTGTGTGAAACTAGGATTTGTTAAGACTTTTTAAGATTTGGTGGGTTTTTTGAGAAAAAAACCTTATATGAAATCTCATCTTTAGACTTAAAATTTCACATAATTCCTCCAAAATTTGAAAATTTTAAAAAGTTTCAAATCTTAAAAAGTCTAAAATGCCACTTGAAATCCCAATTGAATACCTCAATAAGTTTCCTTTATGGAGTTTAAGTTTTGTGTTTAATTATCCTTTATTTATGGAGTTTGTGTTTTGTAGTGTCCACTGTCTCCTTGATGAAGTTGTTCCCTTTGGATTGTTGTGGAATTCCAAGGGGGTAGGTCT